TTGTACTGTAATAAGTACAATTAGCAATATGCCCTGATCAAAGTCTAGTTGTTAACTAGGAGATACATAGACAGATATTCTGTACTGTCTATTTCTTAATCTATAAACTGTATTATCTATCTATCTATCTATCTATCTATCTATCTATCTATCTATCCTTACATAAATAGTGTACAGATTAATAGATAGGTAGATAATATGTAAAAGATAGATAGAGAGATAGATAGATAGATAGATAGATAGATAGATAGATAGATAGATAGATAGATAGATAGATAGATAGATAGATAGATAATACAGTTTATAGATTAAGAGATAGACAGTACAGAATATCTGTCTATCTAACTGTACTTATTACAAAGAATATACCTAAAACCTGTTTATCAAATTATATGTTTAGAAAGATAGATAGATAGATAGATAGATAGATAGATAGATAGATAGATAGATAGATAGATCAAATCTATCTATCTATCTATTTAGATAGATAATACAGTTTATAGATTAAGAGATAGACAGTACAGAATATCTGTCTATCTAAATGTACTTATTACAAAGAATATACCTAAAACCTGTTTATCAAATTATATGTTTAGAAAGATAGATAGATAGATAGATAGATAGATAGATAGATAGATAGATAGATAGATAGATCAAATCTATCTATCTATCTATTTAGATAGATAATACAGTTTATAGATTAAGAGATAGACAGTACAGAATATCTGTCTATCTAAATGTACTTATTACAAAGAATATACCTAAAACCTGTTTATCAAATTATATGTTTAGATAGATAGATAGATAGATAGATCAAATCTATCTATCTATCTATCTATTTATCTACTGTATATCTATGTAAATAATAGACTAATAAAATGATAGCATATTTTTATTAGTCTATAGACTAACTATTTAGTCTATTAGTCTATAGTCTATCTATCTATAGACTGATAGATAGATAGATAGATAGATAGATAGTCTGTACCTATTTGAGCAGAAAAAGGAAGTAAGTTAATTAGAATCACATGAAGACATTTTGGGAGGAGCTGTAGAAATGTATGGGCTTCTAATATGCAAACTGCCTTTTATCTACATACAGAGGTAGTGATGCTGGACTGTAAGCTTGTATGCACTTCAGAAAAGCTGCGGAAGCTCATTCAAGTGAATTACCTAGTATAGGGTACGGCAAAGTAAATGGTGCCTGGAATGGAGTTGAAGTGATCTCTTTCCATCAGAGAGCATAATTTACCTTGGATGGACTCTGCTGCTGTTTGAACGATTATATGGAGTAATTTCATGTGGGATTGCTGATACACAGAATGTAGCCACTTTGAGGGAGTCTGTCTGTGGAGCAGCGAGTCATGTACACAGTGGTGGAAATTCCATAAAGCATGTACAACACTCTTCCGGCAGAATCTAGACTTTAAAATACCTGAGCCTAATTCATGAAAGCCATGTGAAAGTTTTGGTTGCAGTTCCAACATGTCCAACAGATTCAGGTATTTCTGATTACCTTACCTTTAATATCCTGTCACTATGGCTGCAACAGATTAAAAAAGAATTGACTAAGACCAACTCTAATCTGGCGTACAGAGACACAACAGAGCTCAGAGTGGGACATGTATGTGCTGAATATGACAGCTTCCTGTTCATTGACAGCTAGGACACTGGGCCACCAAAGTCCTAGCAACCAATTACACATCCTCATCCCCTTTCAGCTAGTTGGGAGATTTCCCAGCCAACAGCTATATAAGAGCAAGGTGGACACTCCATTTTTTACTTTCAGATGTCGGCTGTGGAATCCCCTGGCCAGCAGCTGAATGGGGTAGGGATGAGTCATTGGATGCCAACAGCCACTTATTATCCAATGACACTGACAGAGGGTGGAGCCTGATGGACATGCCCAGGGACTATTTCTCAATAAGATCCAATCTGCTGCTGATTGATAGTAGTTCGTGGGTGGATTCCATAGGCAATAGCAGGCTGTCTATTGTTTAATAATAATAATTCCACCCACTGCTTGCTGTCAATCACTAGGGAGGCGAACCTGATGGGGAACTAACTTCTTAGAGTTTCCCATCAGGCTCTGTCCACCCACAGCAAACGTCCTCGGCTGTTGTGCCTTCCTATGTAATGGGTGCAGTGGTCAGGCAGAGAATGTAAAGATTATATGTATGGACATGGTTTATTGTAGGGTGTTTTTTTTAAATATAGTCTGTAATAGTGTCTCTTAGTAATATGCCGTTCTCACTGTATAGTCTTTTGTACTTTCTATTGCACTTTTGTACTTGTTTGTGCTTTCGGTATTTGTGTGTGGTGCTGGGATTCAGGTACATAGATAGATAGTCTGCACTATCTATCTCTTAATTTGTATACTCTATCTATCTATCTATCTATCTATCTATCTATCTATCTATCTATTTATCTATCTATCTATCTATCTATCTATCTATCTATCTATCTATCTATCTACCTATCTATCTATCATGTACCTATCAATCTATATTAGCTATTAGATAGACAGATAGACAGGCAGACAGTTAGACACAGAGAGATAGAAAGAAAGAAAGATAGGTAGGTAGATAGATAGATAGATAGATAGATAGATAGATAGATAGATAGATAGATAGATAGATAGATATGACCAGTTTCATAACAGTTATTTAATTGCCTGAATCCGGGAACCAAGAACTTGGGAACAAAAATACTTCAATGGCACTTGAAATTCGTTTTTTTAATTGTATTTTTTAATTCACAATTCTGCTCTGGTGTTTTATAATATCCCTTGTGTAAAACAACGAACAAAGAGTACTTGCTTCTTTCTATTTGAGCCAGGAAAGTATTCAAGATCCCGGCTTGCCGTATGAAGCTTCCACTATGGACACTTAAGCTCAATCAGGCTTTTCAAACCTCAGCATTTGAGCAATTACTGTAAGTATTTCTATAAATGTAAAACTACTCAGCAAGGCATCAAAGGGAGTGCCGTAACATTTAACTTTCTTTTTCACGGCATCAGTGATTTTTTTTGTTATGCCGAAAAATATTCTACCATTAGGGCTCCATTGTGGAAGCTGGAGACAAAAACCTTTATCAAGCCTGCTTAGTCTCCTGTATGGGGGAGTCATTTAATGGATGTGACAAATGGGACCTGGGATAGGTGAATGATAATAGGTATTCATAATGATGTAAGAGATTTCAAACTCCACACAAGTATTCCAGACAGGTAATTCTTAAGGGGAGTGGAGAGATGGAATTATTTTGTGTTATGTGAACTGTTAGCAGTGGTATAGGAGAGGCAAGCAAAGAAGGTCGTGAGGTTGTGAGGTGCTGCTCTCAGGGGTCTCTAAGTCTTCCCCGCCACTGTGTGAGGAAGCAGAGAGGACTCAGTAGAACTCAATATTCTGTTTGATGGCACTCATCTGTGTTACTTGCCAGGTTTTTTTTTCGGGGATTTGTCTGTGCTACTCTAGTTTGTGGACCATGACTACAAAATATAAATGATCAACCTAAAGTAAACTTGAAATGTGCATTATGTTCTGTAGGCCTTGTTCAGTTTCTAAAGGCTTGTTGAATAGGAGTATGTACAGCAAACCTTTACAAGACATCTTAAATACTTTCAGCCAGCATCAAGCAGAGTTCTTAAAGTGACCCTGTTGCTATACAAAACGTTTAAACCTAACCATACCTGGAGACGAAAAGTGTACATATTTCCCTTCCCTTCTGCCCGTGCTGCTCAGAAAAATCTTCTGCTCAAGTTGGCATTGGAGTCGGTGTGTCAATCTCCTGGGGACCCTCACAGCTTTTACTGGTTCCTCCCTCTGACCTTCACTCATTACAGGATATAATAGTATATTGGGGTCATCGGAAGGAACCATTGAGAACTGCAGGAGAAACAGTTTGCCTCTCCTAGAAATTTCAGTTTCCCTCCAGACTTAAGAAAAAGATTGCTCAAAAGGAAAGTGGTATTTAGCAATGTGGGCACCGGATAAATTGAATTATTACACTCTGCTTTTACAGGCATGGCTTGATTTAAAAACTTTTGTATAGCAACAGGGCCACTTTAAAGACAATATGTCAACTGGAGGAATATAGACCTGCAGTTGACTCAAAACCCTTCCTGTCATGGTCAAGTCTCAGTCCATTCTGACCAAATCTCAGTTACCCCTTTCTGATATTGCTAAAACTCACCCCTCCTTACTTCATGCACATTACATTTATGCTATTGAAGCTGCCCATCATGGTGATAGGCCAATAGGAATGTGTGGGGTGCACAGCATTGTGGCAAGCTCCAATGCTACATGGAAGTGTCTGTCAGAATGGCCAACAATTGGCTTTGGTGCAAGGTTTGGGTGCCTGCTGCAGGGATCTGCAAGCATTTCTAGATGCCTCCATTTAGTATCTGCAGCAGTTTGCCTCCCCTTTCCTCATGACAGTCCATTTAAAGTACCTTTCAGCCACATGGTGGGGAAATTAACACACTTCTTAATAGGAATGCTGGCTTTAGGGTATATAAGCTGCCTGGTCCTGTCTTTGGACTGATACAAGTAATCCTCATATAGGGTACATCACTTGCAAACATCAAGATATTATGGGTATACTCATGCATATTGAATCAACCAAACACATTAAGTGCCTGAGCACATGGGAATTTGTTCACTTGCAAACTGCTTTTCTCCAAACACAATTCAACCATAACACAAAAGCAGCTCAAAGCAACTCAGATGGAAGTCAGAAGCAACTGCTTCTAACCTTATAGGGATATGAACTCATTGGCATCTCATATTGGATTCAAATGTAACAACGTACCTGAAAGTATGCTACATTTGCCCAAGTACAAAAGTTGGGGCACTCAACTAGAATGAAAGGAATTTTAAAGAACATTTCATTACAAAAATGCTAAAAGGCAGAAAAACATATTGCTAGGTTCCCCATTGATGTGCTATATGTAAGCAGAGCTACCACTTTGAAGTCTCAAAAATAAAAAGTTGTGCACTTACCTGTTTGAGAATCTCAGCCGCGGTTTCATGCGAGCAATCAAATATCACATAGAATTCCTTGGCTTTCTTCATCTCTTTGAGCAAAGGACGTGCGTCCTTGTTTCCTGAGGGTAATTGACGGATTTTTATTTTGATGTTGTATCTTGATGGAGCTTTGATGAGTTCTTGCAGACGGATTAAACCTAAGGGAGAAAATAATAAATGAAATTAGTTGGATAGTAAAATTCTTATAACCAGATAGTAACGATGCTCCAGATAACTCCACACAAACTAATTAGCTGCCTTTGTTAAAAAGAAAAGTTGGGAAGTTTATGTGCAAGTTTTAATGTGGTCTTGTAGAACATGTCAATTCATTTGCATCTCAAAGTACTTCATATTCTTTTATAAGGGTGTTTTATGCTCCGTGTCTGTGCGCTGAAACAAAAATAAATGCAGCTCCTACCATATTTCTAGGTTTTGTTACTTAGTCAAAATAGAGAAGTAGTGGAATGTTTAAAGGGAAATGTCTAAAGAAAAGTTTTTTGAAAATCAAGAACAAAAAAAACAACAGTGCTGTAAAAAAATTAAAAAAAAACATGGTTACCATAGGTCAGTTTTAGATTCCATCTAGGAAAAAAAGGAATCAAACAAAAATAATACTCTAAAAGAAAAAGTAATTCAATGTCATAAATGCAGCCATTCAACAAACTGGCATAAGTCAGAGCTTTTACACCATTTACCCAAAAACATATCTAAACTTGAAAAGAAGAATTAAAAGGATTAAAAAATTGGTACATGTCGCAGATTAATAATCCTTAAATGTGGTAGCTACATAGTTTTCCTTTTTACATTTACCCAGTGATCCTACCAGTAACACACCCATAGGCTATAAAATCCACGCACTACAGTCTGCCGTCATTCACAAGGGTGGTGGACCTGATGGGGATCTAGTCTCTCAGCTTTCCCATCTGGTTGCATCCTTTGCCATTTAGCTTTGTCATTGGCTCTTAGGAGGCTGTCAGCTGTGCAGCAGACAGCGTCCTAGCATACAATGAAGCATCTCTGGCTCTGATAGGCTGTCGGACGGAGGATTCCCTGGTTGAGTAAGTCGCTGGGCAGTCGCTGACCAACCACATTAGGACCCCACCTGGAGCGCCGCAGCAGTGATGCGACGCTCCTCCAGCCTGCCCAGAGGACGGTAAAAAGGACCCCACGGACGGTAAAAAAAAAAAAAAAAAACAGCGCAAGCTTCGACGCTAGGCATCGGGTCATTTTGACAAGTACAAGTACTTGTCAAAATGCCCTGTATCGGGCCCGATTCCGATGCTAGCATCGGTATCGGGACATCCATACACTGTAGGATTGTAACATGAAGTGATTTTGTGCAAGCAATACTAAGGATTACACTTACTGCTGGGTGGGTTATATATTGTAGAATTTCCCAAAACGCTGAACATGGGCGCTCCCATGAGGTGTTGATGCAAAACATCTGTATTTATGGTTCAAGTGGAGTGTGGCCAGTAGAACACTTCACAATGCATGGTATTATGGTCCATCCACCGCCTGGCTTCCTTAAAGGAGAACTATGAGGTGAGTGCTTTTCACTCACCTCATAGTTCTAGCCAACCTGTGACAATGAGACTGTCACAGGTCGGCTCAGTAGATTGGGAGGTGAGTGAACACATACCGGCGTTCGCTCACCTCTCGATCCTGTCACGGCTCTCTGCCGTGACAGGGGAGGGGCTGGATTCCCCCCTCCCCGCTCCGATCCACCAGCGCTGACTGGCGGAACGTACGGGGGAGGGGGCAGGTACAGCTGGCTCTGCCTCTGGATAGGCAGAGCCAGCTGTCAGTCATGCAGCTGGGCGGATCCCGGCATAATTGTCAGGATCCGCTTCAGCTGCAGCGTCTCAGTATACCGTGAGCAGCAGCTCGCGGTATACTGCGGCGTCTCAGTATACCGCGAGCTACAGCTCACGGTATATTGAGCCTAGGGTGACGGGAGGATGCTAGTTTGTGTCCTCCCGTTACCCTAAGGAGAACTATGGGGAAAAGCCTTAACCACATAGTTCTCCTTTAATGGGACTTCCGGTATCGGTATTTGGTATCGGCGTGTACAGAAAACAAATATCGGTACTCGTTACCGAAATACCGGTTTCGGTACATCTCTAATCCAAGCCTTACATCACCAAGTGCAATGCAAAGCGTCATATGCAGTGGTGTAAAGCAGGCCGCCACAGGACTCTAGAGAAGTGGAGAGGTGTTCTCTGGAGTGATGAATCACGCTTCTCTGTCTGGCAATCCGATGGACGTGTCTGGGTTTGGCGGTTGCCAGAAGAACGATACTTGCCTGACTGCATTGTGCCAAGTGTAAAGTTTGGTGGGGGGGGATTACGGTGTGGGGTTGTTTTTCAGGGATTGGGCTTGGCCCCTTGGTTCCAGTGAAGGGAACTCTTAAGACATCAGCATACCAAGACATTTTGGACAATTTCATGCTCCCAGCTTTGTGGGAACAGTTTGGTGATGGCCCCTTCCTGTTCCAACATGACTGTGCACCAGTGCACAAAGCAAGGTCCATAAAGACATGGATGAGCGGGTTTTGGGTGGAGGAACTTGACTGTCCTGCAAAGAGTCCTGACCTCAACCCGATAGAACACCTTTGGGATGAATTAGAGCGGAGACTGCAAGCCAGGCCTTCCCGTCCAACATCAGTACCTGACCTCACAAATGCGCTTCTGGAAGAATGGTCAAACATTCCCATAGACACAATCCTACACCTTGTGGACGCCTTCCCAGGAGAAGTGAAGCTGTTATAGCGGCAAAGGGTAGGTCAACTCAATATTGAACCCTACAGACTAAGACTGGGATGCCATTAAAGTTCATGTGCCTGTAAAGCCAGGCATTCCAATACTTTTGGCAATATAGTATACTTCAGGCAGTGGTTGGAAGCTGACTTCACAGAAGCTAATAGTTATATATAAAAAGCCCTCACCAGAATCTTGCTTCCAGTGGCTCTGGGACAAGCCAGAAGAACAGCAATTCTCTTCACCTTCACCGTCCATAGCATCCACCTGGAAAGGCTGCTGGCTCTCCGACAGCAGCACCCTGGTCACACTTCACTAACAAAAACTCCCACTACCCCCAGGCCCTGTGAGAAGCATTCCTCCTCTGTTCTCAACCTAGGCAGACTGACAAAGACATCTGCAGTACAGGAACACTTATGGGTAGCCTGCTCCCAGAAGGACACAACTTAAGCTTTCTTTAGACGAATGGGCATTTGTGAGGTCAGGTACTGATGTAGGATAAAAAGACCTCACTTGCAATCAGCGTTCCAGTTCACCTTGTTCAAGGGGACTGGGGTCCAGGTTCTGCCCAGGCCACTAGCGTTCCATATGATTTGTATGCTGTAGCACCAACAGCACCTTTCACTGCAAACACCTGAAGTCAATAAAAGTCAATAATTTGGAGGTGTGTGCACATCATTTTGGATATAAAGGTAGGTGCAATGGTCAGGTGTTCACAGATGTTTAACTAA